AGCCAGGCGGATCTCTGTGAGTTCGAAGCCAGCCTGGTCTACAGAGTGAGTTCCAGGGAAGGCGCAAAGCTACACAGAGAAACCCTGTCTTGAAAAAAAAAAAAAAAAAAAAAAAGTTGTAACCTGAGGTTGGAAGGATGGTTCAGTGGTTAAGAGCACCTGCTGATCTTGTAGAGGATTCAGGTTGAGTTTCAAGCACCCATACTATAGCTCACAACAGCCTATAACTTCAGTGCCAGAGAGATACATACATACATGCAGACAAAGCACACATATACACAAAATTAAAATGTGCTTTTTTTAAAGCTGTTATCATTAATTAATTTAGCCAACCTTTTCTTTAGAGATAATCAGAACCAAAGCGTGCCTGGTAAATACATGGTAGCTGGTAAATATTTATTTCTGAATAATTCTTATCTCTTTCAATTTTTTGGCAGAACAAAAACTGAGCCTATTTTGAGTTAAACATAAACAGCCTTAAGAAGTTAAGTGTACAAGCCCAGATGTGGTGGCACATGCCTGTAGGTGAAAACATCTGGATCAACACTAGACCTTGAGTCATGCAAACTTCAATCAACCCACCGCCACTGGCTGTGCCCTGGAGTGGTTTACTTACCTCTCTTCACTGCTTCATGGATCGGTGAAGCCAGGTGGACCTCAAGCTGGACCTTGGCTCCAAACTCCAAGAGCATACTGACACACGCAGCGCTGCCACTGCAGCAGGCATTGAAGAGCGGAGTGGCCCCATGAATTGTCAGTCCATTGACCTAGTATCGGCAAAGCAAAACTCACAGAATTCACTCACTCATCGTCATGTCACCAAGTGTGTATTCCTATGTGTGCGCCTGGAGAAATTCCCCCACAATGCCGAAGGACTGAGAGCATTCCATATCTGTGGTGGTTTGAAAGAAAATGGCCCCCAAATGGAGGGGCCCTATTAGGAGGTATGGCCTTGTTGGATGAAGTGTGTCACTGTGGGCGTGGACTTTGAGTTCTCCTATGCTGAAGCTACTCCCACTGTCACAGACCACTTCCTGTTGCCTGCAAGCTATAGGACTCATCTACCTCTGCAGCTCCATGTCTGCTTGCACACTGCCATCCCACCATGATGATAATGAACTGAACCCCAGAACTGGAAGTGAGCCACCCCAATTAAATGTTTTCCCTCATAAGAGGTGCTGTGGTCATGGTGACCCTTCACATCAACAGAAACCCTAACTAAGACAAAAGTCAGTACCAGGGATTGGAGTATTGCAGTGATAGGCTGTTTTTGTTTGGAGAAATATGGACTTTGGGAGTTTGGATTAGGAAAGTAGTGGAATGCTTTAAGTGATGCTTAATTGGACATACAAGTAGGAACATGGGAGACAGTGGTACTGAGTTTGATTTGATAAACTGTGGGGAGCTGGCTCAAGAAGTTTCAGAGAAGAATTTTAGTGTGTTGCCTCGTGATCATTCTTGTGATATTTTGGTAAAGAATGTGGCTTCTTTTTGCCCTTGTCTGAAGAATCTGCCTGATGCTAAAGTGGAGAGATTTGGATTAATTCCATTGGCAGAGAAAAATCTCAAAACATCCTAGTATAGACTCTGTCATGTGGTAACTCTAATGAAGATTTATAATGAAAAGAAATGTAAAATGTAAAAATGAAAGAAAATGTAAAATTTGAAGAGCAAAGGTATGGAGTTAAGTGCAATGGAGTTAAGTGTGTTCAAAGAGATAGATTAAGAAATGGAATAAATGGAATGGTGATCTCAGGACAAGACCCACCCAGATAAGTTTCCAATTTGTGAAAAGGAATTAAAGAAAAGCTTAGAGCTAGGTGTGGTGTACATGCTTTTAATCCCAGCACTTGAGAGGCAGAGGCTGGCAAATCTCTGAATTTGAGGCCAGCCTGGTCTATAGAGCAAGTTCAAGGATAGCCAAGCTTAGGCAGTGAAGGAAAACAGAAAGCTGGTTAAGATGTAATTGAATGAGGGGGGGCATGTTCCAGCTCCAGTAAGCAGCAGAACTTGGCAGCTTTGACCATGTGGTTCTGGAGTTAAGGATAGAAAAAAGGGTCTATGGAAATTTCCCCTGCAACTAAGGAAAGCCACTGAGGCCAACCATGTGTCTTGGGTGCCCCTGAATGAAGGCCTAAAGAGGCCATTGCGTGAAGCTGTGAGGTTGAAGCCTGGATTGCCTGCCAAGGAATGCTGCTAGCAGGAATGGAACCAGCCTAAGAGAAAGAAGTGTGTTGCAGTCAACAAAGCTGAAAGCATTGAAGATCTGAAGAGTGCTTTGACATCAGACATGGAGATGCAGAATTCAGAGTTTGCCCAGCTGGTTTTTAGTCTTGCCTTGGTCCAATATTTCCTCACTATGCTCCTTTCTCTATGTTTTGGAACAGTTATGTATATCCTGTGCCATTATATGTTGGAAGCATGTGATTTGCTTTTTTTATTTTGATGTTACAGGGGATTACAGTTAAGAGATTGCATGAATCTCAGAAGAGACTTTGAACTTTAGACTTTTAATTAACTTTGAGACTGTTATAGACTATGGGGACTTTTGAAGTTGGACTGAATGCATTTTTGCATTGTGATATAGCTTTAAGTCTTTGGGAGCCAGGGCGTGGAATGTGGTGGTTTGAATGAAAATGGCCCCCAAAGGGAGTGGCACTATTAGTGGCCTTGTTGGAGTAGGTGTGGTCTTTTTGGAGGAAGTGTGTCACTGTGGGGGTGGGCTTTGAGGTCTTCTATGCTCACGTTACTCCTGGTGTCACAGATCACTTCTTGTTGCCTGCGGATCAAGATGTAGGAGGACCCTCAGCTCCTTCTCTAGCACCATGTCTGCCTGCATGCCACCATGTCCTGCCATGATGATAATGGACTGAACCTCTGAAACTGTAAGCCAGCCCCAATTAAATGTTTTCCTTTATAAGAGTTGCTGTGGTCATGGTGTCTATTCACAGCAATAGAAACCCTCACTAAGACACTACCTTTATGAAAATTTAAAAACTCATAGCATCATTGACAGATCAAGTGAGTTATTCTATGTGAAATACTTAAAATATTACCTTCTGATCTGATTTACTATTTTTTTTCCGCTTAGTTCATGTCAGTGAACATTTTCTGAGCTTCTTACTAGTTGCCAATGTTTTAGTTTTTTGGGTTTGTGTGTGTGTGTGTGTGTGTGTGTGTGTGTGTGTGTGTATGTGTGTGTGTGTGTATTGCTGTTTTCCCTGAATGTGTACATGTGAACTACATGTGTGCCTAGTGTTTATGGAGATTAGAAAACCAGATACCCTGGTTGTTTTACAAGATTTTATTTAAGATTTTTTAAAAGATTTATTTTATTTTAATTATGTGTATAGTGGAGGGGGGCAGTGGGTACAGATATCCACAGTGGCCAGTAGAGGGTGTAGGGTCCTCTGGAGCTGGAAGTTACAGGCAGCAACGAGCTGCTCAATGTGGGTACTAGGAATCAAACTTCTGGTCCTCTGGAAGAGAAGCTAATGCTCTTAACCACTGAACCATCTCTACAGTCCCAAGATTATCTTGATTACCTTATTTGAGGTGGGAAGACCTGCCCACTGTGGGTGGAACCATTCCCTTGATAAGGGATCCTAGACTTCATAAGAGTGGACAAAGTAATGTGAGTACTAATGTACAGTGCATTCTTCACGCTCTTCCTCTGCATTTGGACGTACTGTGGCCAGCTGCTTCAATTCCTGACACAGAGACTTCTCCGCCAGCCATAACAGACTATAACCTTGAACTGTGAGCAAAATAAACCCTTTCTCTTTTAAGTTGCGTTTATCAAAGTGTTTTATCATAACAATAGGCAAGAAACTAAAGCAGTTCATAATGTGTTTTATCCTTAAACCTCATTTACTTTAGTAATGTAAACTAAAATGATGGTTGACACATTGAATTGAGCAACTTTCACTGTCTGTTGAAATTTGTGATATTTGTTATATTTTATGACAAAAATGTTTTTTTAATGAACACATCTGAATATTCATATTTGGGTTATATAGGCTGAAAAGAGAAGAGTAACTCAAAAGATGAAATACAGACACGAATGGGGCCAGACCTTCACGTTGCTCAATGAGTAAGCACTCTGGAAGGTAACGCCTCCCTAGGTGTTTCAGCCCATGGACCTGGGCAGACAAAGCCAACTAGGCTGGGGAAGTACTCACTTGTGCACCATTTTCCAGCAAGGCCTTAGCACAGGCCACATGACCCCCAAGGCAAGCCTCATGGAGAGAGGAGACCCGGTTAATTGTCACAAGATTCACATTGACACCCTGCAGTTGGGAGAGAAGACAATTAGGTGCTGCATCAGTCCCAGCAAAGCAAGAATGCTGTTCAACAGGTTTCTGTTTTAGACAACTGGGTGTGGACAGCGATACCAGTGCCAAATACAACAGAGCAGAAGCCAAGACCATGCCATTCTAAACACAGCACCGGGGGCTGGAGAGACGGTCCAGAATTTAAGAGTGAGCATGGCTCTTACAGAGAACCCAAGCTTGGTTCCCAACACCCGCATCAGGCTGCTCACAGCTGCCTATAACACCAGCTTCTGGGGAATATAGTGACTCAGACTTCCTAGGACATATGCAGAGAGAGAGAGAGAGAGAGAGAGAGAGAGAGAGAGAGAGAGAGAGAGAGAGAGAGAGAAAAGAATAAAAATAAATCTTTAAACATAACATGGAGCCTCAGAATCATCTGTTCTGGTTTAGGCAATGTGCTAGGACATGGGTCTTTGAAGTTTATGGCCCGATCCTCTCTCCTCCATGGGTCTACTGGGAAGGAAGAAATTTAAATAAACAAACAAAATGCAAGAAGAATGTCATGCTATAGGAAGCATGTTGAAATTTCAGCTGGGAACATGAAATATTCTGAAAGTCTGATTTAGGGAAGGAGAAAAAAAATCACCAGACATTTAATCCCAGCACTCCAGAGGCAGAGGCAGGCAGATCTCTGTGAGTTCGAGGCCAGCCTGGCTATTTAGGAAGACCATATCTAAAAAATATTAAATAAAATTAAAAGATTGTTTTAGGGTAAATTTCTTTTTGTTTTTTTAAGAGAGGAAATGTTTGATCTGCATACCTATTGTTGTATACTATGTACAGTATAATACACACACAGAGTGCTATAGAAATTTCTCTGCTGAAGGAGTATTGAGAAAAAAAAGTTTAAGAACAGTTAGGAATCATCCTCTCATTTTTCCTTTATCTTATCCATATATGGTTTCCTTTTAGGAAATGAATACTTGATATTCGGTGATAATAGAAAAGAGAAAAGGAAAAGCAAATGAAGGAAAAGGAAAAACTGAGAAAGGAATGGGAAAGAAAATGACTTAAAATAGTCTAGTCCACGAGGTGGCAGTATTGTACAAGAAACACACAGTTCCAAACTCAGCCTCTCGGCAATGGAGCAGTGACATCAAGCAGGCCTGAAGGTCAGTGGTTCTCACCCTTCCTTATGCTGGACCCTTTAATACAGTACCTCACGTCGTGGTGAGCCCAGCCATAACATTATTTTCATTCCTACTTCATAACTGTAATTTTGTTACTGTTATGAATCATAATATAAATATCTGATACGCAAGATACGTGATATGTGACTCCTGTTATCCGTAGCTTAGGGGGCCAGCCTCCAGCTACCAGTACCCTGTAAAAGAGCGATTTGACCCTCAAGGGGTTGTGACCCACAGGCTGAGAACAGTTGATCTAGATTGGATCTTCCTTATTGGGCATGAGAACATAGACATACAGAAAATGCAAATTATTCATAAGAATTGAGGTTCCTCAGCTGTTGGTGACAATATGACAACCTAGAAGGTCCTGAATGAATGAATGCTTTACTTGCATTTTCTCAAGGTTGTTGAATGTTTTACTCACATTTAGCATGTGACCTAAATGTAAAGCAAGTTTTAAACGTAGATTATATGGGCCAGCAAGACAGTTCAATGGGTAAAAAGACTTGCCACACACACAATAAATAAATCAAATTTTCTTTTCAAAAGTGGACTACAGGTGGCTGGAGAGTTGGCTCAGTGGTTAAAGCACTTGATGCTCTTCTAGAGGACCCAAGTTCAGTTCCCAGCACCCACGTCAGATTGCTCACAACTGCCTGTGACTCCGGATTCAAGGCCTCCAATGCCTCCTTCTGGGTTCCAAGGGCACTAAGACACACATGGCACACACACACACACACACACACACACACACACACACACACACACACACACTAAATCTTAAGTAGTAGTCGCTATATTTTTGACTAGTGCAAAGAGAAAAGAATTGATACTGCAGCAAGACAAAGTTCTTTTATGTAATGCCCCTATACCCTTAATCACACTACTAAAATAACAAGTTTGTAGAGTAGTGGTGATAGTATTACAGACCTAGTTGGGCCTGCCGGTGCTTGACTAGAACCCCAGCCCTTGGGAAGCAGAGGCACAAAGATTATGAGTTTGAGGCCAGCCTCTACCAATTTCTAGTCCAGACAACATGAGACTCTGTCTCAAAGAGCAAAGAAACAAACAAAATGGCAATAGAATCAGATGAAATGTAACATGCTTAAAAATGAACAAGTTAGCCGGGCAGTGGTGGCACACGCCTTTAATCCCAGCACTCGGGAGGCAGAGCCAGGTGGATCTCTGTGAGTTCGAGGCCAGCCTGGACTACGAAGTGAGTTCCAGGAAAGGCGCAAAGCTACATAAGAGAAACCCTGTCTCGAAAAAAACAAAAAAATAAAATAAAATAAAAATAAAAAAATAAACAAGTCGGGTGGTGGTGGTGCACGCCTTTGATTCCAGTACTAGCACTCCAGAGGCAGAGGCAGGTGGATCTCTTCAAGGTCAGCCTGGTCTACAGAGTGAGATCCAGGACAGCCAGGGCTACACAGAGAAACCCTGTCTTGAAAAACCAAATAAATAAACAAACAAGAGTTCTCTATGGTAGGACACTTGCTTAGCACATGCAGGACCTGGGGGCCATCATCAGAGCCTAAGAAGAAGGTCCTGAGGAGAGGAGAAGTCGGCAGTAGAGAACTGCCTAGCATGTGCGGCCCTGAGTTCCCTCAGAAACACAACTTGAGGGAAAAATAAATCAGTGACAAGATCACATACAAAGTCCAGGACTACTAATAGTTCTGTTCTCCTTTTGCCGATATTTGCATTTTCATACTATTTTGGAAGCGCTGGAGATCAAATGGAGAGCCTTGATGATGATGATGATGATGATGATGATGATGATGATGATGATGATTTTTTTTTTTTTAAGAACTGACACGGCTGTGAAACCGGGGATGTGACTGAATTGGTAAAGTGCTTGCCTAGCTTGCATGAAACCCTGGTTTTTTTCCTTGCTCCTCAGGCCAGCACAGGTTGGGTGAGGTACGTGCTTTTAATTCCAGAACATGGGAGGTGTGAGCAGGAAGATTAGAAGTTCAAGGTCATCTTGTGCTCCAGCTAGAAAGCTGGAGACTAGCCTGGGATATAGGAGACTATGTCTCAAAACAAGAGGTCATCGAGATGGGTCTGCAGGTAAGGACAATTGCTGCCAAGTCTGATGGACCTAAGTTGATCCCCAGTACCCATACGACAGAAGAGAACCATTAACACAAAGTTGTCTGCTGAATGCTCACCATGGAGTGCCCCCCTCCACCCCTATACATACACACAGAAATAAATAAATATTTGGGGGAAAAAATTTAAAAGCAAAACCAAACAAAAGTAATAAATCACTGAAAAGGGAGGGGCACACACAAAATGTCACTATCCCAGCTGTTTCAATTCAAAGGAGGAAGAAGGTTAGGTAATAGAGAGGACATGGGAAAGAAAGCACAGTGACTCACTTCCTCTGCTCACATGTAGAGTCCAAAACAAATAAAGCAGATGGAGGGTACACTTTCATTTATTTCATAAATCTTCACTCGGATGTTTATTCAACATGCAGGGGGGATACAGTCACCAATACAAATACAGTGCCGTTAATAGCTAAGACTTTCCTAAATCTCCCCTAAGGCCTAAGATATATCTGATTATTAACCTATTTAAGAGCCTACTCTTGAAATATGCATTGTTGTAGTGGGCAACCTCTCCATCGGTACCCTGTGATGCCCAGTTCCTAACGCTGCCTCAGTTGGATAATGCTTTCTTGAATGTGAGCAGCACTTACTTACATCAAATGAGTGCAGTATGGTAGGAAGAGAATTGATGTCACTTCAAAGATTAGACTTAAAAAAAAATGAAGGGATACCGGGCGGTGGTGGCGCACGCCTTTAATCCCAGCACTCGGGAGGCAGAGGCAGGCGGATCTCTGTGAGTTCGAGGCCAGCCTGGGCTACCAAGTGA